TCATCAACAGCGTCTTATTTACACACATCTTGGCCGTATACATAATATATGGCCGCTTAATGGACGCATTCAATGCAATACATTTTCTACTCACATGCATATGCCATATAGACCTTATTCAGGCTTAAGGGCCCGCCATCAAGCTTCTGTGCATTCTGTTCGTTAGGGGTACTCTGCACGCGGCAATGATGACATGTACTCAATTGGTCTGAGTGTAGCCTACTTCCAGGCAAATTAAATTGCTGTGTGCGTACCAAACAAAACGCCGCACACACTTGAGCTAACGCTGCATTAAGGCTGGCATAGTTTTAATTAAGAGCAAACACATATGTATATGATGCCTGCAGATGGACACTGATGCTCGTTGGAATGTGCTCTTCCTTCTCTAGAGTCTTCTGCTTCCATAATCTACGACTTGGACTTAATATTTTTTCCCTTTTTGTTTATAGTACAAAGTTCACTTTAACTCACATTTATTTATACCCTACTTAGACTATGAAATATACCTCGCTTTTGTAGTAAAACGTTTTATGGCTTCTACTCTGACTTGAACGCCGCAAACGTGAGTGTACGACTTATTTTGCCCGCCACTGTATGTCTGCAAGCGGACATCCTGCACGGGCATATGTGCACAGCCAGGATGTGCTGGACTGAGGGAGAGCTTTGTACACAAACCTAACAAATAGGCAAACATACAAATTACCCAACAGAATGTGACTTCATTTGCTCTAACAAGTGAGAAAGCAGACGAGAATTGACAAGAAAATTTATCAATAAAAACTTGATCAGCATTAAGTGACATTTGTGCGAATACCCTATAAAAATGCTACAACAAAGCCGTTTGATATTGTGGGGAGCTGGCTGCAAACTTGTAAGTTTTTTATGGTCTGTAGGTTCACGTATACCTCTTGCAAATAAATGTAGTCAAAGCTCACATATATATTTCCCCATTAAATTAAATAATAGGGTATCTTCTAGTTGTGCATTTCGGCACGTCTAATATATCGTGCTATTTCCTTTGCCGAGCATTTTATAACGATTGGTATCTAACGTGCTCTAAGCTCCTTCAGACCCGCCTAAAGGGCATCTGCTAGTCGTAATACTCAACTGGCGAGCTTTTGCCTTATTTTCGGATGAATGTTGTGCGCGCTAAATTCCCGATCCTTTGCCCAAACCCCCCGTCGCAGAACTTTCAGTCAAATCGTTGCGGCTATTTACACAAATTGCCATTGAAAATGCGCCTGCATGTGGCAAGTGTGTGGCATGCGGCAAGAGTCGGAAGTCGAGCAAAGCGGCTTGCATAATTGAAATTATTTACATTATATTTGAGCGCGAACATTTCCCAGACAAGAGTAGCCTGGGGAAGGCACGACTCCTCCCCCTCGCCGACCACAACTTTTTCATGCTCATCGATTTTTTACGACTTTTGCATACATATTTAACATGTTAAATGGACTGCATTCCTTTGCCTGTGTGTGTGCGTGTACCCTATACCCTATAACCTATACCCTATACTATAAAAAACTAGTCAAACACTCTTAGGGTTAGGATGAAGGCATACCTGACATTTGTGCAGCTGGAGTCAAGTTTTGACAGAAACGTTGACATTTCAAATGTCAACAGAGCTGCAAATTGCTGTTGTTTTTACGGATCACAGTACGTGCAGCAAAAAATAGGTCGATTTGATAAACACAGATAAAACTGTTGCCACAAAGTGTGTCTGTCAGGGTAGAAAAATCCTCAAGAATAGAAGGAAACTGTTATACATTATTAAAGTATAATATAAATAAAAAGTGTGTTTGTCGAGGTAGGAGATTCCACTGGAGTAGAAGGCAACTGTTATACTTAGATAAAGGCCGAATTATTGTAGTATAAATATATACTACTCTACTAGAATAGAAGGCGCCTGTTATACGTAAATACAAGCTGAAAGTGCCAAGTGTTACACACAGCAAATATGCAGATATTTTAACTAATATAGCCAAAAAACCTGTTAAGGGTCTAGATTTTATGGCCTACTCTTAAACAAAAAACTGTTGCATATTACATAAAATAATCTTACATAAGAAAAGTACACTCGTGGCTATATAACCCAGTAATTGTATACAGCTGTTGAAAGCAGTTAAAATATGAAGTGCCTACAGAAAACTTTGAAGGTCTTTTGTTATACAGATCCATTGTGTTATTCAAAGGTAGTTGTAGCAAAGTTTGATACTGTTATACAAATATATTATGAACAAAATACAAAGCAAATAAGTTAACTACAGTTGTTTTATAAACTGTTATACATATAACAAAATTTAAAATAATAACTGTTATACATATAGTTATAATAATAATATATTTAAGTCGCAACCAAAGCAGCGATAAAACATGTTGACACGTTAAGCTTTTCTACTAATTATTAACTGTTATACGAGTACAAACCAATAATAATCCTTAACACTAAAAGCTTTTATATTATTTTATGCTGTTATACACAATCATAGGCAGTTATATAATACAAACAGCAAATCTCAGGAAAATAATTGTTGTCAAACTATATTCGCCTCGTAAGGTACAACAATCTGATATATGCATTTATATATATGTATATAAGCTACAGCAATTTGCGAGCATTTTCGCTGTCGCCCCTTTGGGGCGTGTCATTTAATAGGGGGCCGCCAGTGTTGCCAATCTGTGTGTTTGTCGGCCTGGCGCCCAAATGAAACGACATTAAATGGCAGAACTTGTAATTCAATTTCGTTCTGCCAACAAGGCAAGCAGAAAAACAAACAAGTCGAGCGTTAACGACTGCACAATGCTCTGTTCGCCTTGTAATTAATGCAATCTTGAATTGCGATCTTGAAAGGAGTTGAAGTAATATACGATTATATATGTGCCAAGTTTCAGATTTCTAGTAGTAGCTAGATAGCTGTGCACAACACAAATATACCCCTTTTCACTTTGTCAACAGAGTATGACAGCCAAAATGAAACACAACCAAAGCACAAACTAGATGCCAATGTTGTTATCGGCGTAATGGAAAACGTTGTCTACTTTTGTGCGCACTTCATTTGCCTGCCCATATCTGACATTTCCGATGACGCGCAAATACATACATATATATAGATATATCTCAATTTTATGGACTATGTGACAGCAAGTTAAACGGCGTGCAGAGACTTATCGCAAATAAGCCCGCAAAGCATGCCTTTAAGGCCTTTAATAGCAGTTCCCAACGACAACACACAAACAAATCCCCAACAAATGCCTATTCTTTATATTTATAGGGTATATAAAAATGGGGTATCCTAATTTTGTCACTAATTGTCTAATGCATAGAAGCGGACTCCATAAAGTGTATGTATTCTGGAACAATATCTGATCTGTAAATCTTGCATAGATTTATCTTTCTGGTACATCAGATATCTTCTATATCTACAAACCCGCTTCGAATCGGACTACTTAATCATATGATAATTGGCCATAAGATTAATTGGCATAAAATTCCTGCCTACCAAAGGGTATTTAGTCTTCGACTTGCCGCATTTTCTTGACTTTTTTTCTGCTGTCAGCCTAGTTTCTGGTGCTTTGCCAAATGCTCAACACGTTCCAGTCTCATTGTGTTGGCTTAGTTTGTGGACCCTTTGCCACTTGCCGTCTGTCAGATTTATGACAGTTTCGCTTGACACCCGAGTAAAAAATATATATATATATATATACGCATTCCGTCGGGGCATACTATCGATTTTGTGGCCCAGTATTTAGTTAGTGCATAAATCATAATTTCCGGAATGACTGTCAATTGGGGGCAGGGCGTGTTCTTTAACGCCAATATGAAATAGCATTAATCATGTGGATAAAACTTGAGTTTTTGAAATGGAAAAGGCAAATGGGAATTTTTGCTGAACAAATTATGAATTAGTGCGCGATGATTTTATATAATATCTAAAGTAATTTTTCTTACAAGCATGTTTTTAAAAAAAAAAAAATGTACATAAATTCCTAAGTTGGATTGGGCAAAGCAAATAAAAATTAATTTAATTTCCTCATGGAATACGTGCAAACGGAAAAGAAATTCTTGGAATTGAACAAAATTGTGCAAGCCCCTTGAAGCATTTTAACCTTTGGCATTCTACTTGGAATAATAACAAGGGGTTAAAAAGTTGCTGTGCCCATTAAAAATGGCTTAAAGGGGCATAATAAAATTATGCAAATATATTCAACGCGGAGGCAAGGACACATTTCTTAGCCCATCCGTTATGAATGAAGCGTTGTTGGCTCTTCAAATTAATTTTAATTATAAACTTTTAAGAGCCTGCAAAACTAATTCAACAAAAATAAGTATAAACTCATTTCTGTTATCCGAATTTGTGTTCTCTTTTGTACTCTTGCAGCTTCCACTCTAAGCACAAAGTTTATTCATCTGAAACTCATCTTTCAGAAATCCTTGAACTTTTCGTTGAGCTGCTGCTTTGCCATGTTTTCTCCTCTACTAGATGTTCATTATAAAACGGAAATGGGCAATTGCCAGCTCAGTGTTGTAAGAGGCCACACGAAAACTTAACAAATTGAGGAATATTTCATGAACAATTTGGGCAGCAAATTTTAATGCACAAATTCAATAAAATGGCTGTTGCCTAAGTACTATATGCGTTTTGGCAGTTTGACAACACTGGCTACCACAAAATGCTGTTGCCTGAGAAATATCATGCCTAACGTCGTTTGACAACACTGGCTACTCAGTTTACATATAAATTAATGAATTATTGATATAAATATCCTAAAACCTTTTTATAAGTGTTACTTTAGGTGATTTGACAACACTGTTTACAAAACATTTAACAGCACTAAACAACACTACATTTCTATTTCTATACTAAAGCTTTCTTTCTGAACCGCCAATCGAAGTTAATTTAGTTCGATTGTGGCTAAGTGCATAATCAAAGGCAATTATAATGCCATTTGCTGTCAGGTATATACACCTACAACTAATACGCTTTTTATCCTTTGTACAGGTTCTCCAGCCGCTATGAGCTTCCATTGCTGGTGCAGAGCGTCGTCATGAATGTCACCATGTTCCTAATGATACACCTTTGCGTGAAGGTGAAACGCATGAATGCCAATACACGTGACCATGCGCTCCGTGGTAAGGCAACGTCTTCTCGCTCGAGAAGATAATGACTCGATTAAATAATGACAACACACTTTTCCTTTTAAGGCGATGAGCTGCACTTGCCAAAAGTGCTGACGGACACGGACACCGGCGCCTCCGTATCCACGGATGCGGGCGTCCTGAAGCGTGCACGTTCCAGGCATTATTTGAATGGTGAGTCACAAGGCGCAGCTGCCATTGAAAAGTTTCCCGCATTGACAGCTGACAGCAATTTCCGTTCCGCCAGCTTGTCTTAAAGGCGGAACCAAAGAGCCACCCATATCAGCATATATCAGTTTATGGCCCAGTATAACACTCCCAGTTCCAGTTTTCAATTTCTATTTCTCTACCTTTACGGCGCTTCGTTATCTCTCTATGCGCGTAATTTACAGTATTTTAGCCTCGGTACCTTATCAATCTGCCCTCGCGCAGGGCAACATAATAAAACCGGGTTAGGAGGCGGAAACGTGGCCCATAAATTGATCAATGAACAAGGGCCACAACCCCGACGCAGGCACAGCATTGAGCTAATTATAGAGGCACGCCTGGGGCTTCTCCGCTATCTTTTGTGGGAAATGTATTTTTTCTTCGTATACGTATATGCGCATCGCCTAAAAGGCGGCAACAATAAATAGAATTGATTTTTAAATAAGTTTGCCAGTTTTAAAGCGTCAATTCCAAAATAAATAAAAAAAAACTTTGTAATTAATTATAACAGGTTTTTTAACATTCCCGCTCTGTTAAAGTAAATAATATGTAAAATATTGTGTTATAAATGTTATATAAACTTAACCGTTTAAAACTGAACATTGTTCGTGTATAACAGTAATGCATATTGTATAACAATTGAAGTATACAGCTTAATGCCGAACATTGTTCATGTATAACAGTTATGCATAGCGAAACGACAAAGATTTTTTTTGTCAAAATAAGAAACATATTTAATACTGTATAACAGTTTAATAGTATAACATTATAATTGGCAACAACAATAAAAATTGTTACAATGACCGCGCACTGTCCTATTTTTCCCAATGCTTTTTTCTATAAAAAGTGGCTAGATAATAAAAATATTATACCGCATATAACAGTATAAGGAGTTGTTTAACAATCAACATTGTATATCCTATAAATTCTTGTTTGTTAATAATGTGCTATACACCATTTTGTATAACAGTTGCATAAAACCATTTGCAATACAACAGTTTGACAAATAACTTGACATTGCCTAATGAAAGCATTCCAAATGAATATAACACTAGTATAACAGTTTAGTTAAACCTCAATTTCAGATCTGGACTTCAAATACTTTTGGAACTGGACAGATTTCCAATCGTATCTGGACATGATGCTCGTCGTCTGGGCCGTTGGCGCCGCGATCACATATCTGATGCTCTCCGTTCACTGGTTCATGGAGGCCATGGGCTTTGTGGCCGTCTTCACGGAGGCCATGTTGGGTAACATGCTTGTCCCAGGCACACAACAATGCCCACTAATTATTTACCTCATGCTCACAGGTGCACCGCAGTTTCTGCGCAACTTTAAGAATAAATCAACATATGGTATGAGCATACACATGGTGATCATGTGGACGCTCGGTGATATGTTCAAGACTGGTTACTTTATTGCTAGAAATGCGCCATCGCAGTTCTGGATTTGTGGCACGCTGCAGGTGCGTACAAGCTTAGCTTAATATTACTAAATAAAATAAATGGTAAAAATATAAGTAAAAGGAACCAAAGGTTGCTGAACTATCTAAATTGAAGCTTGCTTAGATCAATGCAATTAAAATAAATTTTAGATTAATAAATTATATTTTGAGCATTTTAATAATTCAATTTCCGATTGCTCTTGAAATACCTGAGCTACATATTCAGGCACTTGTTCCAAATTTCCAGATGCTATAAAAGCAGCTTTTATTGGACGCAAGTTCAAAGAATGCATTTATTTTGCACTTGGGGGAAAAACGAAATGAAACGAAAAAGATATTCGGCAAATAAAAACCCAATTGCAAATAGAAGAAATCGAACATGTTAGCGGAAACAAAATTGAAATAAAATTGGAAATTGATGAATCTTAAATTGCGCGCAAGATCTTCAAATAAAATCTCTTTTCTATATAGTATATAGGACAGCATAACATAGGAGAACAAATATAATAGAATAATTCTCACCTTCATAATTATCTGTACAGAATAGTTATTCAACTAGATTAGTTTCAGATCTATTCTTCATTAAAAATAAATAATAATAACTTATAAATTGACTTCCGACTTAAGGCTGTGCAGCTATGTTAATTAACAGAGCTTCGAAATGGCTTCCTGTCATTAGTTTTGGTTCATGTATCTGCTTTTTCACAGACATGAACCCAGGCTCTGATTTGTCGTACATATACAAGATGTTAAAGGAAATAAGATATTATACCCTTGTAGAGGGTATTGTAATTTCGTCATTTAATGTGTAACGCATAGAAGAAGATATCTGCGTTCCCATAAAGTAAATATATATCAGAACAGGGTATTGAATCTTCGGCATGCCGAAGATAACCTTGCTTACAAACAATGCAATTACGAGCTACACTTCCCCACATATTCATATGTAAGAAAGGGTGTTGAAACTTCGGCTTGCCGAAGATGCCGTTGTTGTGATTTATTGAAATTAATTGTGTTTAACATGCAACACCTGCCCTTAGCTAATGCTCAACTTTTATGCAGGTCAGCCTGGACATTGCCATATTGCTGCAGGTGTGGATCTATCGGAACAATACGAAGCCGCGCGACCTGAGGCGCGGCGATTAGCAGTTTGCCCCCGAAGAACAACAACAACAACAGCAGCAGCAACAGGAACAACAACAGCAACAACAACAACTGCAACAACAGCAGCAACAACAACAACCGCACGATTTGCACCTTTCGCTCTCCGAGGAGCGACAATTGTCGCTGCCAATCACGCTGAGCAGCAGCGGCGAGGATCATCTGCTGACGGCACGCGCCGACGACGAGCACTTCAAGACTCTGGACTTTGGCCAGTGCCACGACAATCGCGCCTTTCAGTATCCCGCCCAGCACCCCAACAATAATAACAACAACAACAACAACAACAAGAAGCTGCTGCCACGGCCTGGAGGCAGCGGCAAGAGCCAGAGCCGGCACGTGCACAGCGCATCCCATAACGCTGTGGCCGTTGCCCTGGATGCCTTGGAGGTGGTCATTGTGCATACACCAAATGCCCGGCTCAGCAATGGGCCGGCCGCGGAGCACAGGCACAGTCAGGGACGCGGGCGCGCCGGCAGCTGCTGTCAGCGTCGACGCAAGCGGCACAATGCGACGCAGACGTCCGTGGAGCGCTGCTGCTGTGCCGCCGTCGGCGACGGCTGTCATTGCCATGTGACGACCACGCATCATCATCATTGCCATCACCATTGCCATCATCATCATCATCATCAACGATACGACAGCGCCAGGCGTCGCCAGCGGCAACATCGCCAACATCAGCAGCAGCAGCAGCAGCAGCATCTGGTTGAGGCGCCGCGTCACAAGTTGCATTCCAAGCGAAGTCCGCTTCCAGCCAAGCACAACAAGTCTTCCCTGGACTCTAGCGAGGATCCGCAACGGCCGCAGATGCATTCGGCGGCAATTGCCATTGAAATTGATGCGGCCACCGTAACGGAGAACAACAGCAGCACGGCCACCTCCAATTTTCCATACAAGGTGGCCAGCGAGGGCGGCGGTGCGCCCATGAATCTATTGCCGCTCTGCGAGAAGCATCGCCAGCGACGACGCGCCTCCCTCAACTCCAATACGACCATTGAAACCGATGAGCTGTCGCGCGACGAAGAGGTAGGGGATGAGGAGGATGATGATGATGATGATGACGACGACGACGATGACGATGTGCGTCTGGGTGTGCAGCCCGAGGATGAGGAGCAGCTGACGCCCTCAACGTGCGCCGTGCAGCCCAGCAGCAGCTCGAGCAGCACAGCGCGCGCCTTTGCTGGTGCTGCACCGCCGCGGAACGAGTGCGTCCGGATTAAGCGCAAGCGTTTCGTGCCCGACGCCATGCAGGATTATTGCAGCAGCTGCTCGCGCTGCTCCAGCTGCAGCTGCGACCAGGCGCGCACCAGCTCCTGTAGCAGCCTGGACGAGGATCTGGCACACGAGCTGACCGTCGCCGCCGACTGCCATCGCTGCATGGCAGCCGAGCAGCAGGCGGGCCATAGTCGACCCGGCAGCAGCCTGAAGAGTTTTTGCTCCTGCCACACGAACAGCTGCTGCTGTGCCGTCGACGACGACGACGACGATGCCGTCCACTTTGCTGGCGATGAGGAGGAGTTCGATGACGACGACGACGACGACGATGATGAGACAACGGGTCAGCGCGAATCGTTCTGCACGGCCGCGGATCACACAATTGTTAGCACGCCGACGCACAGCAGCACCTTGACGCCGCTGAGCACACAGCAGGAGCAGACAATGACCGAACAGGATCTGAATGCCATAACCGATGCGGACGCCTCATCGCTAAGCCAATCCGCCGAATACTTTTCACTCTCCTCCGCCGTGGGCGGCAGCAAAGTAGCCGAGGAGCAGGCCAGCAGCAGCTGCGGCTACAACGAGAACAATGCCAACAAACCGTGGAGCAAGCATATAAGGCTCAAGCGCAGCTCCTCGTCAATGGACTCGCATTTATGACGAAGCGTCTCGCTGGTCGCCTGGCCAGCCATCGATGTCAATGCCCTGCTGCAGCAGACCATACGCAAGACCGCCGCCGTGCTGCAGGAGGCGACGCCAGTCAAGCGTCGCATGCCGCTCACACCCCAGCTGCCACGTCCAGGCGTTCCGGCGCCGCCGGGCAGCAACGACAGCTCCTCGGCCACCCTAACGCCCAGCATCATCAGCGTCAAGCAGCCAACCGCCGTAACCACACGCAACGGCATTACCAATACATCAACGCTGCCAGCTGTGCGCACGTTGCGCGGCGGCAAATACTCGCCGGTAACGGATCCGCTGCAGCGACGCTCCCAGGAGATCATACTCTAAAGCTGGCAACTACCTCTGCTTGGCTGTGTCTGACAACAGAGTTTCTTCTTTTGTTTTCTTTTGGCATTTCATGTGCAAACAATTCGTGAGGAAATATTCTCCATTTACCCAATTATTTAGCTGTTCACATTATATGTTGTTATTCGGGGGTTCCCCAACGCAGAAGAGAGATCCAATGTACATTATTTACACGTATATTTCTTGTGAGCTGAGCCTCTAGCCAATATCTATTTGTATATGTGTGTGTAATTATTATTTTAGTTTTGAACTATGTGAATTTAACGCCTCCTCCGGAGCGAGTGCCGCCCCCCTGCCCACGCCCTAAACCATTGGCCTAGTTAGTTAGCTAAAGAGACAGACATATCCATTCATCGAAAATAATAGAACTTTATCATATGCTGCTGGCTAACGGGCTTTTAGGGGCGGGGCGGGGCGGAGCGGGGTGCACTCTTCTCTCTCTCTCTCGCTTCGTCTGTGGGGCCGGAAAAATCAGTTCGTACAATTTTCTTAGTCAATTCCTCGTAGCCAAGTAAGTTGAAGCATGCATGATTAATGTAAAAGCATAAAAGCAAATCTCGATATTCAAAAGTTAATAAACAAAAAAAGAAGAGAAATTTGATGATTTTTCTAGCAGAATTTATAAGCTAAGTCGTTAAGTATGTGTAAATTAAAATAAAACCAAAACGACAAACGAATTTATGATTTTTTCTTTTTATTTATTTAGTTTTTATTTGCAAATATGGCACACGTTTTCTTTAAAATATATGGCACCACACACACACACACACGCACACCCACTTACACCTATATATTCGCCTAGCTATATAAAGTCGAATACGTTTAAGCCAATTACTATATAGAGCGTAAGAGAAATTACTTAGTTGATTAAAACAGAAAGCTAACGCAGCCAAATATCTTCCTTGCAATATTGAGATTCCGTTGACAAATGCTACACACAATTTATTAATCAAATATCTAATTTATTTTTAAGCTAAACTCTACGTCAAGTGCTTGAAAATATTTCCAAAATATTAAAAAAAAAACTAAGAATTACTAAAAAAAAAAAAAAGAAAACCAAAAGAACTCCACGAGTAAAAATGTGTTTAAAGATTTGCCTAAGAATTTGTTGATTAGTGCGTAGCCGATGTCTTGTTTGCGTTTATATATATATATATATATATGAATATATTGATTCTAAACCATGAGTTGCCGCCTGTTACAGGTAACACACACTTTGTTGGCCACCTTAACGTTTTTCTATCAAATAACTCCAAATGTAACGAATTACTTATATAACCAATAGTCATAATCATAAATGTTCAAACTATACGATCTATGTCTAAATTGTGCGCATTTCAATGTGGAACTTGATAGAGTTCTACATATATATACACATATATTATACTCATAATATCGTATTACTAAGTATATAATACTAAAGCAATATTTGCATACAACTTGAATTAAATGAATTATTACAAATATAATTATAACAACTATACTTTCTTATTCAAATTGGTAATTCATTATTCCAGTTAAAGATTCAATAAAAATATTATGAGTAACCAAGAAAAAAGTGGCGGGTAAAATTCAAATTCAAAATAACAGCGAGCGCTTAGTATTTCTAGTATTTTGCCGTTGACAGTTGCACTGCTTGTTTGTATTAACAGCACGTCGTATTCTGTTAATAGATTGAATAAATTTACCAACACTGAACAAATAGCTTAACAGCTGTTCAACAGTGCTAATACATATATCGATACATCGATATTTTATATAATTTAACATAAGACAAAACACTGCGCCTGCTAGCGTTAACATTAATATGTCGTGTGTCGCTCGAACTCAAAACAAAAAAATTTGTTAGTGGTTTTTTTTTCGTGCGAGTTGCAGCAACGTTCTGCTAGCGGTTACGTTCGTTTAACTACTAATTATTAAAATAAAATAAAATAAACGCGACGGTAGTTATAAAGTGAAAAGCAAACAGCAATTCACCTAAAATATTGCACACAAAGGGAAGATATAACAGTCAGCAACAACAAAACTAACAACAATAGTTTAAACAAACCAAAGGTTTTATTTTTCTTGATAAGAACGCGCTGATAGAGCGGCTAAGACGTATTGAAATTGCGACTGGTAAGTGTAACACAGCGAGCCCTAAAAATAACTGTGCGAGTGTGTATGTATGTATATATGTACATATTTGTGGAGCTTGTAAGTGTGTGTGAGAGAGTGCCGTTATCTATCCCTTTGTTGGCCGCTCTGCTCTTTCGGCCCGCAACTGTAACAATTGTCAGCATCAATTGCCAATTATGAGCTTTTGACCCCCAGCCGCCAGACATGAAAACATCTTTTGCCTAGTCTATTTTGTTCTTATTCAATAAATTCAATAGAGACAACACTTGCCTCTCTACCTGCGCAATTGTTGTCATCCACAAGCAGCCTGCTCTTGAACGTGTGCGTATGCATGCATGTGTGGGTGTGTTTTCCTATTGCATTGCACTTTAGCTTTTGACATTGCTTTTTGCAACGCTTTAAAAGCTGCTGCTGCATGCTGTCCAAGGGCGTAAGCAGGGCGCCCATAGTATGTCCGTCAATTCAATGTCAGCTTTTCATTGAACTTGATACTGAAATTTGGAGTGGTTTTTGTGTGTCTGAAGGCTAAAGTCATCCATGGCCAAGGCTCAAAGCTGTAAGCCGGACAGTGCTGTTAAATATCCCACAAAAAGTTCAGCTTGAGCCAAATGAGCCAACTGCAAACCAGCTGGCAACACTTCATACACAATAACAATAAGCCGCTCAATTGTAAACAAACATTTTGTGTGATGGAAAACGACCAGTTTTTTGCGAATTTCACAAGTATAGACCTGCATTTCTGCAAATATAGAGCTGCCAGACTGCTGTTAGCGAATCTGTAAAGCTTCCATCAATTAACACTGTCAGAAATCTTAAACGGTTACAGGTTATATATATGTGTTTGTGTGTGTGTGTGTGTGTGTGTGTGTGTGTGTGTATATACGTACGAGCACCTCTAAGTGATTGCACCCTTTACGATATGTCACAATTACTCGCGGTGTGTTTACATTACGAGCATCTTGTGCAAGGTCCGGCTTGGTGTTAGTAGCCCAGCTGCGGGTTTCTTATCAGCGCACAAATATAAATAAACATATAACTGATGTTAGTAAATGTTCTCGCTTTATTATCAAGAAGCTTGTTTGTGCCCTCATTTAAAAACATATATGTAGCTAATCTCGGCTTTGTTCTGCCAAAATTAAACAACAAAGAAATTTAAAACAAAGCTGCACAATAATCTATAGTATTAGTTTAAATATATTTTTACGTATTATTCAGTTCTTGCTCTTAAAGCACCACAAGGGTTAAATATAACTACTCTCAGGCTCAGCCTTTTGTTGTTGCTGAATGATTTTTGGACAGAAAAACACACAATAAACGCACAGAAAACGCGCCTATTTTATTTACTGCTGACATCGCGACGCCCACACGCAACGTCAAGAAGCCAAAGTTCGCCCCAAATTGTGTGTTATTCATGAATGGAACCGAACGCGTTCCCGAAAAGGAATGCGGAAGTGTAAACGAGTGCGAATGAGATAGCTACAGTTGCACGCTATCTTTTCTGGCATTGCTTTCAGCCTCAGCTGCGCCGACTAACTGTTTATATTCAGTACCCAGTAAAATGGGTAGAAAGGGTATGATAAAGTCGGGCAAATGCATGCAACAGACGGCAGGATACTGCTCCGTTCCTCTATATCTATCTACTAAAACTCGATCTAAGCTTCATAGTATCTTAGATTTCTGAAGTTTTCCAAGACATATTACTAACAATTTCTAACATCCATTTCATATGCTGAGCATCACAATTAATAGAATCCGTTGAGTTAGTAGAAAATATTATTTGCGTTTAGGAATAAATAAGGCAACCCTTGCACTTGATTTAAGTCTTAAATTGTTTGATTATTGTCCTAAGAAAGAGGGTATTTTTTTGGTATTTTTTGAACACCTCCGCCTCCAAAAAGTTTATTAAAATTCTGTACATGCAGACATGCTTGAATGTAATTTTGATGAGGTCCATCTGAGGTCATCTGACAGGGATCGAAAATGGGCACAACAGTTATTCAAAAGTCAATTTAACTAAGTGTTTAGCTGAGCGAAGAAGCAGCACACACCTGTATGTGTGTGTGTATTTGCTGGGTATCTTGTGGGCCCACTCACAACTACTTTCTGTTTGATTGGGAAGCACATCATGAATAATCCCAGCGCTAAAATGAGGGTTGACTTTACGCGTCGTGCATTTAAATCGCAGTTGATCAGATGGAGCTAAGCTTTGGGGTTTGGCCTAAACATTTTACAATATCGCATAGTAGTCGATTTTACTTTCATGGCCAGCTTAAATGAATTTCTCGATTTACACAGTCGTAAATTGATTATGCATGCACATGATTGCCAGCTCCGCAGACACGCCCACGCCCTAAACCCCTCCCCCTCCCCTCACCCTTGGCAACAGCCAGCGTTTACCGTTGTGTCAGGACTATAAATAGCAAAGGCTGCGCCGATTAGATGAGGTTCAGTGCGTTGGGCAGAGAATTTATGAATATTACATGAGCATACGAATGAGTCCAGGTGATAAACAATTTCCATCAACATGAGCCATATGTCAGGCATGTGTCTTCAAGTAGCTGCAGTTGTTGTCTTTTTCACCTACCTTTTGCCCATTGACGTCAGCATATGGTTCCCGTAAACGACTGGGAAAAGCGCATTGTTTACCGTTAAGATAATGACAAGGGTTAAGGGTTAAATTTCTTGCGAAATGCCAAACTGTTAGTTGCATGGTTGCCATAAAGGAAGGTATTTCTATAATCTCCTTTATGGCAAGCATGTAACTTAAAGAATAGGTTAAGTGTAAAACCAGTGTTGAAAACTGTCACAAAATTTTACAGATTTGAAAAGCTGTTATTTTGCATGTGAACAGAAAATTCATTGTT